ATCCAATGAATCTTGAATTGCACTATGCCCTGGAGCTTGAAGTTAGCCAGCCCCAGGGGCAGGTAAATGGGACTCAGGCTTCAAAGTCATACAGATCTTCTGCATTGCCCTCTGGATAAAGAACAGTGTACTTGTCATGCTAGTCCTCAGAGTTTACTGTCTGTCCTGCTCCCTGTGGCAGACTGCATGGCAAGGAGGAATAGTCTGTGGAGGGCTCTGCTTTCCCCCTTTTTAGGGAAACTGTACCTAAAACACAAAGTACTGAAAATGGATAGACTTAGAGAAAGATATTGCCAACTTTCTTAATACTTTGAATAAGAATGCATGGAACATTGTTTAAACTGAATTCCCTCTTGGTTTGTGTTTCTGTATTTTCTTTCTTTTCTTTTTTTTCCCCAAAGAAAGATGCATTCTCGTTTGATGATTTGTCCTTCAAAACATGCTGCTTCTTCACCAAATATAGCCTTCATATGAAATGTAACATTTCTTTGGTTAACTATGTCAATTAATCTTTGTTAATGTGGTTATATAGCTTAAAATATATTTTGATTCTTAATTTTTGCATTAGTGTATTAAGGATGAAGAATGGCCCATTATTTAGCGATTAGATTATTGTTTCTTCTTGTCCCTCCCTGCAGGATTTATACTAAACAACGTTTAGATGAAAACCAGCACTGAATTAAAGTGCACATATACAACATTACTGCATTCTTTTGCTAGCTAAGCTGTACTCTATTGTATGTGCCAAAAAAAAAAATAAGTATAACAATTTTATTAAAACATTGGTGTATTTTAAAATGGATTTATTTACTTTAGTTTAGATGTTTCTGGTTTCCATGGATAAAATTCCAAAAAGCAGACAAATGCCTTAAAGGAACTTCAGAAGCACTTACTCCTCTATTCCTTCATTGCGTAAGTGGTACTGGATAACCTAAATACCTTTGAAATTCTGCCTCATTCTTCACCCTCAGAAAATGCAAATATGCTACTGTAGCTAGAGCAGGAGCTAGAGCAGGATCTTCCCAAGAGGTCACAGGCTCCTTCAACCATCCTCCTGCTCCAGCATGGGGACCTCCATGGACTGCAGGTGAGTATCTGCTCTACCATGGACCTCTACGGCTGCAGGGGCACAGTCAATGCCTCACCGTGCCTCATCAAGGGCTGCAGGGAAATCTCTGCTCTGGCATCTGGAGTACCTCCTCTCCTCCTTCTCCACAGCCTCAGTGTCTGCAGAGCTGTTTCTCTCCCTTGTTCTCACTCCTCTCCAGCTGCAATTGCTATTGCATGGGATTTGTTTTTTCCCTTTCTTAATTATCTCAGATGCACTACCACTGTCAGTGATGGGCTCAGCCTTGGCCAGCAGCAGGTACATCTTGGAGCCAGCTGGCATAGGCTCTATCAGACACAGGGGAAGCTTCCAGCAGCTTCTCACAGAATACACCCCTGTAGCCCCCTAGCTACAAAAGCCTTGACATGAAAACCCAACACAATATGCTATGTGAACACACATTAGTACTTATCTCTGAATCCTTAGAGTAACACCAGTAACAAGGGAATTCAGAGCAGGGCTTTGCCTGTCCTTTATCTTTTTATTTGTTTCAGATTGTTAGCAAAGGGTGAGATCACTTTTTTTATTCATCAAGAGGACAAGCTCCAAACCACTAGTCCCAGGAGTCCTAAGTAAGGTGCCCAAATCAATTGTTCTGCTGCTTATAACTTGACTTTCCCATTGGCAGGATAAGGCATTCTGCCCCTGTATATTCAACACACGCTTGCATTCCTGTTTTGTTGAACTCATAAGGGATGCCTAACTCCTCTTTCATATAGCAAAGACAAACTTTATATGGTCTGGGAAACCCAAGTTTTTGCCTTATTGCAGTTTGGCAAGTTTAGAAGGAAAACACCATCCAGACCATGGCCTTCTAAGTGCGCCAGAGCCCCATAGGTCCAAGAATGGCTGGTGTGTCAACCACATGCACCTGGCAGGCTCACACAGTCCACACAGAAAGTAAAAAGAAAAGGAAAAATTGACTGTTCTTTCAGTAGGGTGAAATCTCAAAGCGTTACACAAGGTTATGTATTCCATTCATTAGCCAGACTTGCTTTGGGGTTAAAATTATTTTTCTGGACCTGAGCCTCACTCCCAAATAATTCTTGCAGAAATTAAGCTACTGAATTTTTCTTTATTTCTATATATGTTATGTATTTTATATTTCTTTGTATTTTGTGTAAATTACAGGAAACTGTAAGTTCTATATAATTCTTATTTAAAGTAAAATATGTCCTATCCATGATGAGAGAGTACCCAGTGTAAATAAAGATTGTCCAATTTAGTCCCACATAAAGAGTGTACACTTTGCAATATACAATCCTTGTTATTGGATCGCTTTAGAAGGTCAGCTGCTTACTCATTACAAGGCATTGTTAGCTTACAGGTTGCTTGTAAGAAATATCAAACTAAAATTACAGTTTCTGTTAGAAATGCTGGCAATAGCAAAAAAAAACCTCTCAGATTTTGACCTCCCCATTTTACATGCTAAAGAACCAGCAAGACTCAACAATATGAACAGCCAAGGGTATATTAAATTAAGCAGGATTTTTCATCTACTTCCAATTTGGTCTTATTTAATTTAGCTTTTAATAAAATGCATTTCTGTTAACCATCACTTCACCCTATTGTCTCTACAGCTTCAAATGACTGCCTTTTAAAGCTATGAATAGCCAAAGTAAAAATCTACAGTTACATTAGTTGCAGGTTATTGGTCAATAAGTGTTCATTAAACACTACATTTATTTTTTCAATTTACAGTGTTATTTGTTTTCTTATTTCATTAGCTTTGATAGGCCTTTTAAGACTTACTTCTACAAAAGTATCTGTGCCTTTGATAGTAAAGCATAGCCAAACTCTGCTCAATGCAGGTATAATTCTCAAACCCTGCTCACTCTCCTGAAACTTATGGTGATTGTTTGTTCAAAGTATATGCAGAGAAAAATTAATTCAAAGCTGAGAATATTTTTGATATCTGATTTATTTTAACCAATATAGTTGAAGGTGGTTTTTTTTATATCAGTGGATCACAGAAAAGCTAAATGATAGCATATAAAGATTTATGGTGGAAAAAGGTACAACACAAGAGTATTAAGCTTAAATGCAATATTTTGATCTTTTAATGCTTTAAAAACTCAGAAATCTAATCCAGTATCTAATTGAATTCACAGAAATTGGTTTAAAGTTTGTAGTCACTTACAGTATGACAGTATAGAAATTTATTTTTGGTAAATGCCACCCAAGATACTTCCCAAAGACAATGACTTTATCAAAATTTAAGTCGTTTTAGCTTTAATTGTGATTAAAACAAATGAACAAATTGTGAAATAAAGGAAAACAAAAATGCACAGGAAAATTCACGCTTGAGGGCACTTTAAGTTTGAGGAACTAATTTATCTTCAAAGTGAACTGTTTTTAATGTTCGACAATAGAGGTGGTTTTGTTCAGCACTACACCTCCTTAATTCTTATTCTGTTTGTGTGAGGAAACTTGCTAGTTTCCTGAAACTAAGCATAATTAGATAAACATTTTGGATTCTTTCTTCTGTTGCTGACAATAAATGCATCTTAGTGTAGTCAAATACTGTTGACAACAGCCACATGTTCTTATAAAAAACAAAGATCTGTGAATTTCTGACTGGGAAACTTAACTATCATCCTACCAAAAAGAAAAGGAAAAAATCACAAACAACTAACAAAAAATTAGGTGCCAAATAGATAAATAGCCATGGAATTACAGGAGAAGCAAGTAATTCTGATTGAAAGATCAAATTTATCATTTGGACAACATAACAAAAAGATGTCAACCATTTTAACTGTTAGAGTAGCAGTCTTGATCTGTCTCAGCAAGGTGCTCATCAGTCAGTGCAAATGTTTTCATATGAAACAAGCTTTGCATCCATAGCTGGGAAGATCTACTGTTATATTTTATCTGAAATAAAATTTTGTACTACATTGTGCCTTTCTAAGTAGGGTCCTGATCCAAGGAATAATGATACTGTTTAACAACAATAGAGAGAAATTGGTGAAGGAGTCTTCAAATGTCATCCCTGTTCTGGGAATCCTACTGAAAGTGAATAAGATCATGAAAATCTATACGGATAGAAATGCTTTGAGCAAGCAGACTTATCAGCTAATGACTTAAAATCTACTTTACACTTCAGTTTATTTTTACATCACTCTTTTCATTCCTTGATTTTAGTTTCATTAATGATTTCTTACTTTCAATGATTCAGTGCAACTACAGCAATAAAAAGTAATGTGCCAGATTCAGCAGGTCAGCTTGTTAATGTATGACAACATTTTGTTTTATAAATGCTATGCAGAATCACCTCTATTCCAAATTTTTTTTCCCTATCTACATACAAATATTTATAACAGTAATAATGCATTTCTTTTTCAGCCTCACTTTGTCCACCCTCCTCATTCCTTCTCAATGGTGTGCATTCTCTGGCCTTGTGGATTTAACCACAGTGCTTCCCAAGCCAGACTGAGCTGTGTGTTTTCTGCCTTTTCTTCTCTACCATTTCTTCCAGTGCCAGCTTTAACAGACCAGTTAATAAGCTAACCTTTTTAAAGAACAAGTAGTTCAGTGAATAAGGAAGATTTCTTTTTCAACCCACTTAATGTTATTTTCAAAGAGGATATTCAATGGCAAATCCATCATTTGTTAAAGCTGTCTGATAAAATTTTATGGTTTTTCCATGCCCACATGGCTATCTTGCAGGAGCGTACTTGGGAAAAGTCAAGAAGAAATTTGTTCTTCCAGGAGCTGTCCACAGTCCATGGCTGAACCTACTGCCAGAAGAATGTGTTTGGCCAAAGGATGTTTGTAGTTAATGTGAACTCTCCCCAGACCATTATGGTGAACTATTAGAGGGACATGAGTCTTTCTTTGCTGAGCCACAGTTACATTCTACTCAAATAAAATCTCATAAGGGCCAGGGCAAAATCAAGTAAAGTCTTCATTCATTTTTATTTATTTCGTAAGTGCTACAGTAAGCGACAGTTCATCGGGTTCAATCTATAAGATAAGTATGTAAGAAAAGTATCTCACACTCTTCTCAGCCATGCTGTTAGGAAAGTCTTCTCAGTCTGATTGAAGTGCCATATATTTTCATTCTGTGAAATATTAGTTCATTTTTAAAATATTCTCAATTCCGGTTTCACTATTTTCACTGTTCTTTCAACAGTGTAATTCAATCTGTTCTCAAAATTGTTGTTATCAAATGTTTCTAAGCTGTCAAATGGTCCCTGTGTCCCTGCCAGATAACAGGTGATGGCCCAAGCTACCACTGAAGATGGCTAGTACTTAGGGACTCTTCAGTCCTAAAACACAGAAAAGTTGTTAGTTGATTACTCAAGCACAAAACTGAACATTCTCAAAAAAGACAAAATAATAAGATACAAAGGCTTCATCGAGACATAATTTAAATCTTTCTACATGTTAGAATGTCTGCCCTGTAATGCCACTAAATAATTAAATTAATCAGAAAATGTGTTCTTAATATTATTTCTACTAGTAAGAAAGTAGAACGTGATTAAAAAAAAAAACAAAACAAAACAAAAGAAAAAGATGTAAAGTTGCAGAGAAAAAAAAAGCAAAACAAAACACCACACTTCTCAGAAGCAGGTTATTTAAACCTTGATTTTTCTATGACAGAGTGGGAAGGCAAGAGGAAAGTCTTCCCTTTGAGACTGCTGAACTATAGTTGAACCACTTTCTACTTTCCATTCTCTTCTGTCCTTCCATTTTCTTCAATTTACCTTTCATTTTTTCCCTAGTTTATAACTTAACTAAGAGAGTTTGATAGTCTGCTTTTAAAGTCAGCTGATCATTTTCTTCTGCCTGAGCCTGTCCATTACAAAGACTGCCAATGGTAGACTATGGTAGATGTTAAATTATATTTCTTTTTTTCCTCAAGACCTGTTTGTCTACCATGTGAAGCCTGGATCTAAAAAAAAGAAAGCCTATTTTACATATGTGTGTAATAATGGCTTGCAGTCTTTCCAGTACACCAGATTTTTAAAACCCAGAATAGGACCAAAATATTTGCTGTAAATTTCCCTTCAGCATCCAGGCAATTAGCTCATTTTCTTTTATCTTCCATAAGCTCAGTACTCTTTGATGTTTTCAAAACTGTCAGGGAAGTGGCCTTTGATGTCTTCAAATCAAAACTAGATATCCATCTGGAAGATACACTTTAGTCAAATACACATTATTCAGCTCAGTGCAGGGATAACCAGGTGAAATTCTACAGCCCATGTTTCAAAGGTAGTCAACCAGATTAGCTAATGGTATTTTTACCATTACATTTTATGAAGCTATAAAAATGAAGGACTATGTACCTTTACGTAGACCCTGGGAAGGGGATCGTAAAAAGAAGTGTGAGAGAAAGCAGACTTGGTTACAAAATAATGAATTTTTTAGACTATGGTAGCACATACAACAGTGAGGAAAGATCAGAGATGGTCAATTTTTTCTACCAGAATGCCCACTGCAGAGAGAATTGCAGAGCTTCCATTATACTGTTACTCTTTATTGACAATAGCAATGTAAGGGTAGCATAAAAGATGTCCAAAAGAAACATAAGTATCTAGCAATCAATATCTGACTATGGCAGAGTTAAGTCTGCCTTTTTTTCTGCCTGTATTCTTGTCTGGGCAAGTTACTAAATTCCATAATCACTCCTCTAAGATGTCTTCAGCAGCACTTTAACAAATCTGAAAATACCAGCATAAAGCTTGCATCTGGTAACAGTAGATCTATCTCATTGACTGGATCATGATTTTGAAATTTGTTCTCACAGTTTCTTTTTATACAGTCTTTGCAATATCAATAATCCCATTTTTTGAGGTAAAAAACATCTAGCACCTAAAGACTACTCTCCATTTACACACCTGAGAGTAAACATCAGCCCACACTGTCACATCACATCACAGATGTTTACACTAAATATTTATTGATTTTTGCTCCTAAATGTTTTGAAAGTAAATTCTTATGAATTCTTTTTATATATATATTTTTCCAAAAGAGAGATGAGTTACATTTGAAGAAGTGTGTTATTTAAGTAGGTCCATGTAATCTAGTGATTTACATTGCTTAGTGAGACTTCTTCCATTCCTTGAGCAAGGTGCAAGTTCTTGGAACACATTGATATTTCATCCTATCATCATCCACACTGTTTTTCTTCCCTTTTGTTATTAAAATTAAATTGGTCTATCATAATTTATTAATTTTCTGTTCTTTTTCTAAGTTCTTTTCTTGCATTATAACATATTCTTTGTAAATATGCTAACTTAGGTTTCTCTGCATTGCTTTGCTGAGAAAAAGTTACTGCTTTCCCTGGATTCCCTGGCTGAATCAAAGAAGAAACACAGTTAATAAACAAAGTATCTACTGACTGTACTAACTCAGTTCCTTTTTTGGACTTGCTTATTGTTCTCATTGTTCTTTTGAGCCAAATAAAAAGATGGAAGTTATATAAAACAACTTCATTTTCTGACTGAGTTTTTTTCCTAGACAGGACCCTGTCTAAGAATGGGCTATCCATGCTTGAAGAAAAGCCTGATTTGCAAACTGACCCTCTTTTCCCATTATACAGACAAACTGTTTATTTCCCACTCAGATGCTCAGGCATGCAGCCATTTAGAAGACTTTTCCTGGTGTCTTTCAGTACATCTGATAACTCTGGTACAGTCTGACAGAAAAAAGAAATTTCTAAATGTGCATTCATTAGCATGCACATGTCCTTGTACCAACGTATATGTCCCACACCATGCTGGTGTGAGAAATGGCTGGTATAAAACATGCTTGTCTGACAACAGGATTTACTTTCTTACATGTATATTCATTCACCTGGCACTATTCTGGAATTAAATGCTTGTAACTAAAGCAGAATTCAGTGGTCTTCACACTATGAATGAATAATTAAAATTTCAGAGAAAAGTTAGAATATTATCATAAGTGCAAATATTTAAAATTTTGCACACAAAAATATATGCAAAACACTTGGTGGCTGCACACAAGCTGCAAATGCATACAAATGCAAAAACGTTTTTTGAATAATGTTTTTAGATGTGGTGTCTACTGTGCACAGAATGCCTCTTGTTAAATCTTTCAGGCTTCATAATTATCTTTTGTTGTTTGGTTGGGTTTTTTTGCTTGGTTTGGTTTGGTTTTTGCTTTTTTTTAAGGAGTTTTAAATTACTAAAATTAATCTCTAGGAATAAAAAAAGACAACCCCAATCAGGATTCGTACTGGCATTTCTTCTAACACACCTATACCTCCAAGTGTGAAGCCCTGTATTTATATAACTTCATTTCAATTCTGACTTTCACCTATGCAATCAGAGAAGGAACTGTTATTTTTAGGGAGGTTGTTATGCAATCCACTGTACTAAAATAATGTCCAGCAAAGTAGTTTTAATTACTGCTGAGATATGAAAAGCCCCTTTGTGAGAAGTGTTCTGGCACTCACAAGCCTCTCTGAGAAAGGCTGCTGAGTACATCCCTTTTGAAACTTTTAAATTTTTCCCTTTTTCCCCTGAGTTAAGCCACCATATCTCAGGTCATAGCAAAGGCAGCAGCAGGCCAGTGTGAAGGCTGCTCATGCTGTTGCACATTGAAGAGAGAGTGTTGACCGCTGTGAGAATCATAAACCTCTCAGTTTGATGATCAACTGAGCAGTAAATTAATTAATCATCATTTTATGCCTCATCAAGCACTTTGCTGAGACTCTCAACAGGGGCCAGCTCAATTAGCCAATGGGAAGCAGACTGTTTTGTTTAGCTGGGTGAGTCTTCCATAAACAGAGGAAGCTTTGACAAGCTAATAAATATGTCATCTGTCTGTGTCACCAGCTGCAATGTGGCTCCACCTGTAAAGTTGTGGGATTCTGCTTGGTGTGGTAGATAGCAACTTGAAAGTATGACAGTGAGGTATCCTAACTCCTTCTTAAACAAAGCACTTCTCACATCTTATCAGGATCCTTAGCCAGTGAACTTGGAAATAATTATTAGGAATCAGATACTTATTTTTGATTACAGATTCCTGTATTAGGCATAGTGAAACCAGTCAGGTGCATTTATAATTTTAAAATACTCCTTTTCTTTTCCTTTGTTCTCTAGAGGGAAAAAAAAAAAAAAAGAAAAAAAACAAACCAAAAAAACCCTCTCTTCTCACAATAAATGCTTATGGCAACAAGCTTCTCAAAGTAAAAGTTTTTGATTAAGTGGTAATAATGCTTCTGTCAAAACAGACAGGTCTGAAAAGTCCTTGTATCAAATCCTGCGGTTCCACTGAAGTTACCAGAGTTACGTCAGTCTAACTGCAGCCAGAATTCAGCTCCTGTCACATTAGACATTTCATCATTCAGAATGGAAAACAGAAATCTGCATTTAGAAGTTTCAGCCTTGAACCAAATCATTGACTGCTGCAAATTTTTGCCATTGACTTTCATGTACCTTCATGGCCATAAGGCCCCATTATGAGTTTCTAATCTGATTTTCTGCATAACACTGCCCGTAACCTCTGGCTGAACAAGAGATAATCACTAACATATCCAATCTTTGCTGAAAGATTTCAGGTGGTGGAAAATTTAGCACATCCTTTGATGATCTACTCCTATAATTAACTATCATCACCAATAAAAATGTGCCTCTTATTTCAGACTTTATTTTATGTGGCTTCAAATTCCAAACATTTTATTTTCTTAAATCCTGTTTCAGGGCAAGCAACCCGAAATTTCTTGTAACACATGTATCAAAAGAAGCAGTTTCACCCAATTTTTTTACACTCTTTCCTCTTTTTAGAAAATAAAAAATGCTTTTAGGAGGCTGAATGTTGTTTTCATTCACTCAGCATCCCATGGCCTTTTGCATAATGCTGGTGAGCATTATACACAAGGCATTTTTTTCTTTCCATAAAACTGGAAGAAGCCACCTTCTCCCTCCTTGTTCCTGGCCATACACACTCAATCTCTAAACAGATGCATGTGTTACTTTTCTACAATTTTAAGAGTATTATGCCACCCTCCTGGTTTTGGAACCCCAAGGCTGACCACAGTGGTAAGATCCTAACACTTTCATAAAATGGTGATGTGGGGGCAGAATTGATTAAAGGGTGACTTGTTAGGAAATGTGTCCAGAGAACCCTCATATGACTAATGTGTCAGGGCACAGCATAACTCTTGCCCTAATGCAGAAAATGCTTCAGTTTCCCAAAAGGAAGGGGAAGAAACATCAACAACGTTTGGTAGTGACTCCAGGGTTTCCTCAAGAGTCCATAGATGCTACAATGACAATTCACTACACCTGTTGCTCCAGCCAGTAGGAATGGTAGCAGCTCAACAGGAAACAACAGCTCAGATTTCGGAAACCAATTTATAAATCATAGCCAGCCTTAAGACTTCCTCCTAGTGTTAGATCATAATGTGAAGGAGTGCAGGAGATACTTATATGTTACTCAATTTAGTCACTAAAGAGGATTTTGTCAGTTGTGTGCTCCTACCTTAAAATGCTCTTTTTTTTTTCCTGGTGCAAAGTTTACCAAAATGTTTACATTGCTCCCTGTATGAATACTTCATTTGTATAGCTCCATCAGTCTTTGTACTTATTACCAAAGGTTTTCTATAGACTTTCCAAAGGATAGAGTGTAACCTCTGCGTTCCCTCATAAATGACTGCACACAACAATGACTCCTTTTAGCTGCTTTATTTTAAAGTCAGTCTGGTTTTAATCCATTTACTTTTCTGCACTGATTTCACACAGGACTAATTTTTGGCTATGTGAAGCAACATGCGTTAGAGACTTCCAAGTGTAAAAGGAAACAAAACCAAAAACAACTATAAACCAAAATGAGCTCTTCGTCTCTGTAAAGGTTACTACATTGACATTCTAAATTATGCTCTTTCCCATACAAAGGGAAAAGAAACAACAGAAATTGGGGAATGATGGAAAGAAGGAAAACAGGAATCTGCCATCTATGCAGCTTCAAGGATGGTGAGGGTCTTCTGGTAGAGAGGAAGGAGTAACAGGGTTAATGAGTGCGTCTGAGGAATGGTGAGACAGGAAAGTGGCACACAGTGACCTTTCCACAGAAGACCTGGTGATACAACACATCTGACCTAGAGAAGCAGAAATTGTTCCTACTCCTTATCAGGATGGTGAGCCCTACATACATCTGTACAGATACACCTACAGAGGTCTCTCTGTAAGCAAATTCTAATTCCACTGAAAATACCAATTTTATTTGATCAACTTGCATCCTACTTCCCACAGACCAGACTGATCATCACTGAGTTTCCAGTACCTGGAGATGTGTTTTCATGTTTATCTTGAAAAGTTTCTTAAGGGAAACATGCATGGAAATTAATCATTTTGTTAGCATATATGTGCATGAGAAGGAATATTTGTATCCCTTCATACTTCTTCTCAGACTCCTGTAAGCAAATGCAAGTGTACATGCACTCCTCAATATGTTGCTCCTGTTGCCTAGGTAAGTGAGTATCAGTCTATTACTCTATTTCTCACAAAATATTTTACAATATGTGATTATTTCAAGGGATGGGTGGGTGAAAAATGATGCAGCAATAAATTTCGTAAATTAAAAATACTGAGTTTGTTTTGTGGATATTCATGGAATATTATTTTTTTTCCTTGACTATTCAGATGAATGGCTGATATTTCTTTCTAACTCAGCAATTTTGCCTCTCAAGGGTTGGTGTGAACACCAGTTTCTTCTTCAGGTCATGTGGGTTCAAAGCTCTAGAATTTCACTTTGAATTTGGTGATTGCGTACTGAAAACCATTTGTCTTCACTCGCATAAATCAACCTACATTCAGCAAGAACAGGCCCTGGTTTCCTCAGTGCTTCAAAAAAGAAAGAATGAGCTTCTAGAATATTTTTAATGGTTATAGGTTTCATAGCGAAAACTTTGTAGAGTGGTGCTCAGAACAATTCTTTAGAAAATACATATGCTTCTAGTCAGCATATCTTTCACACTTGTTTCAATGTCTTTTGAGAATAACAGAGACTTTTTTCAAGCCTGTGATTTAATAAGAAACCCAACCTGAAATGGACTTCTAGTGCACTCACATGGGCTCTGATCCGGTTCTCATTAGAGTCTGATGAGGGGCTTTCAGCTACCTTAGGGAACAAGGGACTGCGGGGCATTAGTAGCAATATGTTATTATGAAACCAAGTAGAGACACATAACATAATGAACCTTCCCCCCATTTTTCTTTTACTTTCTTTTTCTAGAAATCTCTATATACACTAGTTAAGGTCTAGTGCAGGACAAAATCTGAAAGACTTTAGCTCATTTTTCCACTTTGCTTTTGTTGATAATTTTCAGTGATAATTTTTCTTTGTTCACAATGTGAAATTCACTCTGCCTTGTTCCATTTTACAATAACCATTCTTAAAGATACTTTGAAGTGAACAACTCAGAATAATCATAAATCTCACTGTCATACAGACATATGTGAACTTTCTTTTGAAAGCTTCATTGTTACTCATCTATTCTGTCTGGGATTATCCCAACCCCATACTTTTCATCCTTTATCCCTTTTATGAAGGGCAGAAACTTTAAATATTTGACAAACTCTAATCTCAACTCAATTACAATTTGACTAATTACATCCCATGAATTTTACCCCTTTTGTTTTTGTCCAAGATTAATACTGGAATGTCTCAGATAAATTTATAGGCAGTCCCTTTATGCATCCGAAGTGTAATGCTGAAATGAAGAAATACATAGCACAAAGAAACCTCACTTAAGAGCATTGGGAATATGACTATGCTGGTCATTAAACAATGAGATCTAATCTGGTTTCAGGCCTACAGCTGAAAATCATCTTTTGTAGAATTGTGCCTGCCAAGGTTATTGTAAAATTATCCCAGGCACCAAAGTGATGAATGGTCCCAGCATTTGCTGTGATATGGATGCCATCCCTGTGGGGCTTCACCAAGCGGGATTTTTCATGTGGACAGACTCACATGGAGGACAGATGGGAAAGAAAACAAAATTAGTTGATCTGAGCTAGAGCAAAAATCCATCTTTTCTTTGCTACCCAGATTGTGCACTTGCTTTTTTGCAGACACGGAAATGTGTTCTTAAATTATATGACTCTTCTGTTTTTTCCTTTGTGGAGTGATCTGAATGTTTTATGCTGACCTTAGGTTTAGTGTTGATTTTCCTCCTTGAACTTTCATGCTGTCCTAATTTTAGACATGCTAAGCAGCAAGCCTAATATCTAAGTTAGCACAAAAATACTGTGTCTCCAGTTGCATTAATAACAGCTTTAGTCTGATTTTGAAGACAAGCAGCTCTTAACAGTAAAAAAGTTCCAAATGGAAACAATCACTCAACCTTAGCTTTGTCAAAGTCCAACTAATGAGCTAGTCAAAGAGGAAGAGTTTCATTTAGCAGAAAGTAAGGCTTCCTAGGCCCCAGTCCTGCGATGATACCAGCAATCCCACTCACAAAAGCACTGTAATCAGTGCTTTACAGAATCGGAGCAAAACATGGTTTGGGCAACACATCTGAGAAAAATCAGCCCTTGGACACCTTAAATGCTTGACGGTGAAAAGCAGTCTGATACTTTCATCATTATGTGCTTGTGGCAGAGAAGGAGGTAAGGAGTTAAACTATCCTCTGTTGCATCGGAAAGTGGTGCAGTTTGATTCTGAGATAACAGAAAAGTTGCAAATATCATAATATATTTGCCTAAAAAGCAGATTTAGGATAAGTCACTATTAGACTGCTCTAAATTGCTCGCATAATTATAAAGTAGTTAAATATACATCATTGCGTTTTGGGTGTAGGAAGTATTATACCAACAACTGTTCCAAAGGGGAGAGAAATGCAACAAATACTTGATGTATTTTTTGTCTACATTTCTCTCTTAATCAGATTTCCCAGGGTGAGAGGTTAAATTTAGAAAGCCAGCAGAGATGTTAGAATTATTTAACTGCAATATAACTAACACCTTAAGAACTGATTTGTCAGAATGAATTGCAGCCCAGAGTGTTCTGAGTTTTCAAACTAATTTTGTTCTTAAGATAAAAGGCACTTTTTAAAGAATCATAGCTTTTGTTCTAACCATTCCCCCACCCTCGCCTCCAAGGCATTTCTTATAACTCTGATAATATCACAGACCAGGTGCTCCAAGACTTTCAAAATAATAAATTCCAATCTGTCACTAAAAAATAAAAGGTTAAACAAGTTTATAGGAGGAGTTCTCTGCCAGGTGTTATTTTGAAAATGTATGCCTAATTTATCATTTTTCAGTAACAGTTACAAGTGATAAAGGTCATGTAAATACTCTGTATTAGAAATAAGATTTCATTTTGTCATGCAGATAGTACTAATGACTAAATAGACTTTAATCAGGAGATCTCCACCTACTAATGTTAGGACTTCTTAGCAGTAACACTATAATCAGATTTTCTCTAAAATAAAATGCTTACACTGTAGAAACAAAAAAAAAACAAAATTAAACTCAAATATTGGTTATATACCAGTTTTTATAAGAACCAGAAGCACGAAAACTTTTCACAAATCACCTACTTTGGAATGGACCTTGTATAGGTTCAGTGGGTATGTCTACCAAGTGGAACGAGGCAATGGAAACTGCTAACATCTTCCATATGTCACAGCCTTTAAATTATAATACCATTTTGGTTACAGTGAACAGACTGTTCTAAAGCAGCAGAATGTCAGATGGGTGGCTGGATTTCCCTGTAGTCCCTCTTTCACTGTTTTCAGTCACTTTTACACAGTTCTAATTCTGCTATCTTGCCCATTATTTATTAAAGTTTGTAGCTGAAAAAATAGCACAGGTTTTGCCCAAGAGGTCTGAAATATGTGCTGTGGACCACCATAAATCAAGCAGAATGTTGTATTTCTCAGACATTTTGAAGCCAGGAAGAAAATCCAGACCCCAGTTAAACAGAATGCCTGGATATGTTCTTGCTTCCCATTCAGTTTAGTGGGGTTTTTTTCTCTGCAGAATGGGTGGCTCCATCTCTGTAACATCCTGTGGTTTCTAAATAAGGTATGGCAATATTTTGGGTAGCATTATGCTGCAAGCAGATAGTAAAGGCTTACGGGTAGGCTTACACACACACACACACACATATATATATAGAGAGAGAGAGAGATCTGTATTTCACAGGCTCCATAAAGAGGCTACCTCACTTACCAAGAAAAAAAAATTCTCTCCTCTTACTTCCCTCTGTGCTATTCTAAAATCTTTCTCTTGTTTCCCCAGCTTTCAAAATTACTTTTTTTCAATTGTTCTTTGTTTTTAGCTACTTTCCTCCCTCATCCCCTACAAATATAGAGGCACAAGTTAACTGCCCTGAAACTTTCCTGTTGAACTAATTTTCAGGAAAGTCATAAACAGGTCTCATTCTAAGCTTAGCTTCTATAGATTGCAGAAGTGAACTTACAGACTTTTCAAATACAATTAAGAGATCAGTTTAGGGCACTTTCCTGTATAAAACTTGGACAGGGTAAAATCGCAGATTGAACAGAAATGAAAACTGAGTTTCCTCACGCATGGTTAAAGACTGTTCTTTAGAAGAAAAAAAAAAGGTCTTCCCCACAAAATCCCGTATCACATTTTGAAATTCTAGGGAATATTTATACCAACTTCCCTCTAGGAGCAAAAATGAAGATGCATGACTGTAGCTGTACTGCATAGCTATACTGAGGCTTCTCAATCTGGAAGTAAGCTTCTGCTGTTGACACATGCAAGCTGAAGTTTCCATTACTTACTCATAATATTACAATGCAAGTTTCACAATGCATACAATGGTAAAGCTTTGCAGTGTTGTGGCTGATTCTGTGTGTTTAACTCTGTTAGATTTTAATATACTATGATTACTCTTAAATGCGGAGTCTTTTAGCAAGGCAAGTAAATTACCCTAAATTAATACTCTCAATTTCTTAGGAACAGTAAAAGAACCATTCTCCAAATAATTTGTGGTAGTTCTTATTAAATAGCAGCTGAGCTATTCAGTATGACTTGAACTGAGATAAATGAACTTGTAATCTCTTGAAACTAAAAACTACTCAATTTAGTACATAAAAATAACACTTAGAAAAGTTACTCCTAATTAATAGATTTAGTTCTTACTTAGATGCCATAAATAGTTTTGCCCTTTTATGTACTCCCGTAGAGTATGCAAGACTTGCAAAATGAACATTTCGTTTGCCTCTTCAAGGTAAATGATTTTCTCTATTATTACTGCATTTCTTTCATTTAAATCTTCCTCTTTTTTTTTTTTTTTTTGAAGATCAGAAATATTTGGGCACACCAATGATGTTATGGCTCCTGATAAATGATGAAAAGAGCTAATATTTCAGTGTTTCACCAAACTTTTATTTTACAGAGCTGGAAGGAAATGGTGGTACTGAGCTTCAGCACCAGAGAGCAGCAGCATATAAGAATTGTGAGTCAAAGTTTCTCCGTTGAACCCCAGTCTTGTTCTGGACCAAACAGACATGGCCTCCCTTCTTTCGGGTATAGAGTATGTAATTGTCCTTTTGGATAACTTTCCTAACCGATACATTTAAAGAGGAAACAATAGCAATGCTTGGGGGGTTTTACCACTTTGATACATACCCAGCCCACGGGCTGTGGAATAGGACTGATAAGTAGCCCAAATTTTCACACCAGATTGGTCTAGATCTGTTCCAGAGTTTGAGCATTCCAGGTGAGAGAAAACAAGAGACAAATAGAGAACTCACAACTGGTTTATTAATATAGGAAAATATAAGGAATCTAACAGATACAGTAAAGGGTATTTCTGAAGACTGTATATATTACCAACCCCAAGGACACTCTGAAGACTATCAGGAAACCAGCTCTGAAGATCATCATCGCAGTGCAAGGAGGCAGGCTCTACCATGGCTGGCATCCCAGAGGAGGCGACGTGGACCTGGATGATACGAAGTTCTGCAACCTCACATCGCATGAGGATCGGGCTTTTATGATGACAAAAACGCACACTCGTTCTGATGTAGGGGGCCAGCCTACGCCAGAAGAAGTGGTCAGTTATATCTATAAAGGTCTCCAAGGGTCAAGACTTTTCAAGGGAGTTCTAAAGCAGAACTTTCCGGGTAGGAACCAAAACTGGACCTTCCGGGGAGGAG